ATAGTGCTGGCAGGTGATTTTAACGCGCAGGTTGGAAAACTGAGCGCATCTGAAGCCTGTCTAGGAGGGCACTTCGCCCTCCCCGCCCAGCGAACAGACAAAGGTGATCGACTACTTCAAATCTGCGCGGATCACCGGCTGTTATTGTCCAGCACCAACTTTCGACACAGCTTTCGTCGAACGGCTACATGGTGTTATAGTTCAACTAGAAAATTGACCCAAGTTGATCACATAGCTGTAAGCTACCGTTGGCGTGGTTCAGTACAAAATTGCAGCTCCTATGGGACCACGTGCGTTGAGTCGGATCATACACTAGTTCTGTTACGCTTCACATTTCGAATCATCGGTCATCGGCAGAAATCGCCTCCTCAGTTAGCTCACCATTGTCTGTGTGATCCAGCTGTCTGCGCACGTTATGAGGAAAGGCTGGGACAGGAGCCAGGAGAACCGCGACCGAAACAATGTGGACAAACCACAGATAGACTAGATATTTACCACGTCAAAAATTTGAACCGAGCGCTCAAGGTCGTTCAGCTCAGGCTGTTTGGCTGCACCTACGGTTTTACCAGTCTTCTTAGACTTAAAAGGCCTCATGATCTGCGGTTTGTCCTCATTGTTTCGGTTTTCCACTGCCCTCATTACCTGACTTTTATTTGGGCATGACCCGGTAGTAGTACCTACGGCTTTACTTTATTGTCCTTATCCTGGGAACCGCTGCCGCCTTCAGAATTCTCTTGAACTCCTCGTCTAGTGTTATGCAGTGGTTGCAAACCCACTTTAATTATTTTAGTGATTTGTGCACCAGGTGGATTGATACACCTTTTTGCTCATTTAAGAGCTTCGCTGGTGGTACCACACTCCTGAGTGGCGTGCTCTCCGCAAAAATAGACCACACGTGCGTTAGAACCTTTTGTTTGTGACATTCGAAGATAAACAAGAATGTTCAAATAAACAGTGCTGTAACTCCTTGCGAATAGACACGGAGTTATACAAAAACGTAAAAATACCCTTTACCAAACTAAAAAAAATGCTTTAGGCCAGCGAACTGCCGTTCACAGTTCAAGGGTGATGATGTAAGTAATTCGTTGGAGAACCGCATAAGCTCGTCCACTAAACGAAGAATCAACACAGCCGAGCCAGTTTTCGTCCACACATGTGACAGAATACCGGCTCCTCCAGTCAAACAACAACTTCCGCAGTATACAAAATCCCATCAATTGTATCAATTCGTCTGTGCGTGCTTGGCCACCTACCTAGGCAGAACCGAGCGGCAGCTTAGACTAACAGTAGCCGAACACATTCCTGTGTGGCTCAACAAACTGGTGGACGAATCATACCCGAATGATCAAGGTCAAAGGTCAACCCAACGCCGCACGCGAACGTCATCGATCGCTCGTCACCTGGTAGAGACTGGGGATCAAGTGAACGTGACCACAGCATTTAAGTGTCCTCATCACGCAAAATTTTCGGTTGCTCTAGTCTGTAGAGGCGATTGCTATAAAACGATGGAAGCCTGAACTGTGCGAGCAGAAACAGTTATTTGTAACTCTAGCCCTACCTTGGTAGGAAGATAACACCAACAGCTCATCCGCGGTAAATGTTACTTGTTAGTTTTCATTATATTCTTTGACTGTAGTATGTACCAGAAGAGATACAGAGAAATATTTCAGGAAGGGGTTTTTCTTTGGGAACCCTAACCGTTCCCGATTATGGGTAACCCAAACATTTCGCTACAAATCTAACGATATAAAACCATATAGGATCGTGGGAAGGCTCTCGTCCATATTGTGCTAAGCGTTTGCTCTTCCTATGCAAATCTCGCAAAAAAAAACAGAAAAAGATGGTGATCACCACCTTGTCGCCTGAGAGATGTGCTAGAACCGCACCACTAGCGCCTCTACATCTCTTTAGTTGTTTGTGTCCCGTTGTTTTTACTATCACGCATTTAACGGAAGCAGAATAAATAAATAACAACAAAGGCAAACAGGAAAGATATTTATTATTCTCACTGATATATGATCACCCTTAAACCACAAAAGTAATCGATTACATCTGCAATGAAATACGTGGCAACAGATCACCCAACTAGTAAGCGAGCCCGATTGATGCTACAACAAAACACATCGTAAGCCGATTCAATAATAGGCATTATTATCACAGCCTGGATAACCAAAGTAAGCAATCTAGTACATAAGAGACATCTGGTGGGTGAGTTGAGTAGATGAGAGTGGCTTCAAGGCTGACAATTTCATGGTGCCACCAGAATATGCAGTACCAGGGGTTTTCCTGAAGCAGTTAGCACTACATATGGTATTAGTAATCAAACCAGAAAAGTCAGTGATAAATAACCAAAAACAAATAGCTGCAATTGGAAAAGACAGTTAGGCTGGCTTTATATCCAAAACTGCAGCAAGCAGAAAAAACAGACCAGCCTGCAGCACTTCAGGCAATTAGTAAGAATATCAAAATAATGAACACGATAACTCAGTCTGAGTAAGAAATCCATCCGCAAATCCGACTCTCACGTAATCACCGTTCTCTATAGCCTCTGGTGGAAGGCGTGTACAATCGATTGTATTACCACGGTACCATACTTGCATGGGCTCAAGTTGTGGTGGTTTCGAACAACGGGGACACAAAGAGCCACGTTCCAGGCTCGATCGAAGCCAACAAATCAGACTGCGCCGACGAGTCTGTTTTGAAGGACGATCAAATGGCAGGACTCCATGCACGTGACTGCCCCGGTGAACGATTGCCCAGCCGGGGCGATGATTTAGCAGTTGAGCGAATCCGTCTCGGTCTCTGTCCCAGGATGCATTGTTTCGCGGGGAGAAATGGCAAAAGAATAGCTGACCACCAACATCATCACTCGTTCCCGGCTCGAAATCCAGACAAATGTTCACAGTGAGCTGCAAAGTGGATTAACAAAATATTGATGTTTTGATTTTTCTAATGACTAAGGGAATCAGAGCAAAAGCGAAGGTAGTCTCGTCTTTAGCGTACAACCAAGTTGTCATAAACAAGGAAAATTGCAGTGAGAACACAGATCGTAGGTGAATAGATCTTTTCGCTGAGTTCATTCCCAAGCCCTGACAATCACAGGTGAGAAAATAAAGGAGGATGATGTTTTGGGGTCAAACAATCGAGGTCAACTAATGATAGCAAAGGGGTGGGGTGGGCACAAGTTTGTCTCTAGTTCCCTTGTTCGGATAAAAACGGTTTAGGCAAGCGTTGAAGATTGATTTGGGTCATCACAACGCTCATGCATGATATTGTCAACTTTGGTCCAAGAAATTTTGAGTACCCGAACAAGTTTTTTGTACATACGATTCTTGCTTTGACAAGTGGATGATAGTTGCCCCGGCTTTTAAAACACTAGCAACGGCTAAGTCGTAAACTGCTCAATACCTCTGAGCATATTCGCACCTGCTGTATACATATCAGACATTGTATCCTATTTTTGTTTTACCCCATACACCGGAACGCATCTTACTACCCATATGATACAAACCATAACATAAACACTGGAGATGTTTCTTCGGCTGGCAACAAATATGTTAAAAATGCAATCAATATCCGGTGAACAGATGAACATGAAGAACTACTTTGTTACGGCTGGATAGGAACAGGCAACAGACCTTTTGTTCAGAAGCAAATCATAAACCGGTTGTTGAAGGGAGATAGCGGTGTTCATTTCGAAGACAATTAATAAATCCAGCTTTTATAACCAATACCAGTTGGATCAGCTTTGTATGTGATCAATATTTCTAGATAGATGATGACAGTTTTACCATCTAATGAAAAACCAAAGCAAGGTACCACTATCAAACGACCACCAGCTGTTTGTTAAAAAACAAACTCTAGTAGAATACTATCAAACTTTAATCTCACGACCACATTTCAAGTACTTGACTTAGAAATGGGCTCGTGCATCCTAGAGAAAATGAAACCAATCTATCATCCCTTTTTAAAAACTTGTGTCCTGGTTTATGGACAATACAGACGGAGGAAGCAAGAAATACCCGATTCATCTGGCAAACTCAAGATTTGGTTCTGTAATACGAAAAAATGTCTGATTGGGCAAAATAAGTTAGTGCATTTAAATGGTAGATGAAAACCGAGTTCACTGAAATGGCATGATTCTCAGGGTATCAAGCACAAAAACGATATAAATGTTCAACTGACAGAACTCTAAACGTTGATTGGTGTGATCAAGCGATAACATACCTCGGAATTGTCGTAATGAGGCGATAAGTCAAAGTCTTTTGGTACGTGTTCGCTAGCATCACCAGCTCCCGTGTACTCTACCGTGAATACGCGATATGAATCGATTGTGGGACCAATGTCGGGAAAAAGGCGAGCCAGAATAGACTGGAATCCAGCATCGAATAAGCTAGACATCAAGTCAATATCAGCCCCGCCAACATCTCTGACGTAAGTGGAATTTTCATTATAGGATTGACTGCCGGGAATTTCACCGAGCAATATGCCTGATCGGTTCATTGTGTTTGGCTGAATGGTAAGGCCTCCGTGAGTACGAAACCTATCGAGTTCCTGGTTCAGGCGTGTCAAACTAGCAGTAGTTAACACAGGGAATTCATAAGCTTCGTTGGCATCTGAAGAAAAATTGTAAGTTCATCTTAAATGAGTTGGTATTATCACAACATCTCATTCACTATTGTACATAACCTGAAAAAGTAAGTAAAACACTTATCTTCATTTTGATCCGTCGTAATAAAAATTATGTGGACTATCAGATAACAAGGTGAATGTCCAAGAGAATGTGGCTACATTTTACTATATTTTACCAATTACAGAAGGAGAAAAACTGATATCATATTACTGCACAAGCAAGAAATCCAAAAGCAAATGATGTGATTTTCATTCATACACAATGGGCATCTATATTCAATCTGACCTCTAAAGAGCCATTGAAGTAGGGTAATATCACTAGGTAAGTTCATTACTAGAAACACAAAACTGAAGTAAAATTATTTAACTGCTACTTAGTCCTTTTGAGTCAACTGGAAAAGTTAATCAGATTTTCCACACTCACCGAAATCAATTAGCGTGCAAAGCAGCCAGGGACAAGCAGTAGTTAAATGCTTGTGAGCGACAAGTTCGATAACTGATGAACGGTATGAATACCCGAATCGGTAGAGCACAAAGCACTCAAGTCTGCTGTATAACGATATAGCAAACTGAATGATCCACCTATGCCGATCCTTTGTCGAACAGTACGCATTGATTTGGACTTAACTGAACTTAATTCGGAAGGAATTCTTTTGTTTTATTTGTGTCATGATTCAGCTTTTCTGAAGGAAAATTTAGAACTACGGCCTTGATACTGACAACAAATTCAATAAAAATAAATTATTCTTTTTTTCTTGACTTTTTTTATTTTTGACAGAGACACAAACCTCCCCCTCGTCAGACACTACTCATTTACAGTTGCTTAATAACTTCCTCCATTCTTCTCCTCCTCCTCCATTCTTTCTAAAGCTGGTGTCTGCGCCTGTATCCATCACTCTGTCGCTTCTTCCCGACTTTCACACTTGGACTTCTCTAACCGTGAATTTCAGCTTATGTGGCTGAAACTTCCATTCCCTTCTTTCAACCATTATTTTTGTACTGTTTGCCGCTCCCCGAGCAGCAGTGATTCTTTTATTTTTGATGTTCTATCTTCCAACATTGAGACACTAATGTCGGCAGATTCTAACAGCCAAATCACCAGTCGGAGATTTCAATGTCCACAACAAGGAATCGCTGAAGCACTCCTCAGACACTACCAACATGGGACTTGAAGCCGAGCCCTTTGCTGTGGTCAACAACCCAAGTCAACTAGCTGACCTCCCCACACGCATCCCCAATCGTATTGGTGACCGTGCCCACACCTTTGACCTCATTCTCACATTCATTCCCTCTTCTTTCTCCAGCATCACTTCTCTTTCCCCATTAGGCTCATCGGACCATTGTCTCATTTCTTTTCTCACTTATTTCTCTCAATCCATTTCACAACCAAACTCCAGACGCACCTTTTGGCGTTATAATTCAGCCAACTGGGACGGTTTTCGTGAGTTTCTAGCTTGTTATCCCTGGAAAGATTGCTGTTTTAAATCTGATGTTTCCACGTCTGTTTCAAACGTCACATGAATTTGTCTTCAGGAAATGTATCTTTATATTCTACACTTCTCCAAACCCGGCAAACCACGATCCCCTGAGTGATTTAATCATGCTTGCAACCGTGCTGTACGTTTTAAAAACTCAGCATCCCGTCGTTGGCGCCACTCACCCAACCCAGCATCCCGCAACCGCTTCGTGCAAGCCAGAAACAAATGCTCGATCATTATTCAGAGAGCTAAAGAACGCTTCATTCGTCACGAACCTGCGCGCTTGGCTTCTTACGCCACCGGTAACCGAACATTCTGGTCCCTCGCTAAAGCGGTTTTACGTAATTTCTGCCCTTCCAACTTTCCTCCCATTTGCAATTCCTCTGGCACACTTGTTTGTGATCCCCACGAAAAAGCAGAGGTCTTTGCCTCCCGGTTTGCCTCCAACTCCACCTTATCTGCTGCCTCTACTGTTCAACCCTCCTCCCACAAATCCAGTCATTCCTTTCTACCTATCATAACAATCAGAAAGATCCGCCAAACTCTTCGCGGTTTAGATGTTTGTAGACCACCCGGTCCAGACGGTATTTCACATGTCGTCCTAAAAATGTGTGCCCCGAAGTTAGCCCCTGTTCTACACCGCCTTTTCTGCTATTCACTCGAACTTAAATCTTTCCCTACTCCATGGAAAAATGCCATCATTATTATCCCAAAGAGCGGTGACCCTTGCGACCCCAACAACTACCGTCCCATCACTCTCACATCTGTAATCTCGAAAGTGTTTTAAACCATTATCTCCGACCAACTGCGTACGTTTCTCGAACGCGAAGGTTTGTTAAATGACTGTCAGTAAGGATTTCGTCCTCATCGATCTACGGGTGACTTACTGGCGCTTACATCACATTCCTCGTCGATTGCACTCGATAACCACGGAGAAACTCATATGGTCTCACTCGACATCTCAAAGGCCTTCGACCGCGTTTGGCATGAAGGTCTGCTGTCGAAATTACCCACGTTTGGATTCCACCCGTCTCTCGTATCGTGGCTTCGTTGTTTACTCAGCGAGCGAACCATCTCCGTCCGAGTAGATGGGGTCCTATCTCGGCCGTTTCCTGTAAACGCCGGTGTTCCCCAAAGTTCCATACTTTTGCCCACCCTCTTTCTCTTATTTATCAACGATTTTTTATCCCAAACATCTAATCCTTTCCACTGCTTTGTCGATGATACCACTCTCCATTGTTCTCTTTCTTAGCAAACAATCCGTCAAGCTAATACCAACATCGAGCACGATCGTAATGTCAATAGTGCTCCCCTTGCCTCCGATCTCGGACTAATCTCCGCATGGGGTTCTACCAACCATGAGTGTTTCAATGCTTCCAAAACTTCTTTCCTCTCAGTCTCTCTTAAACATGCCTCCTTTTCTCCTCAATTGATTTTTGATTCTCTGCCCCTTCGTTCCACAAATTCTCTCTTTCTCCTGGGTTTATCCATAAATTCTTCTCTCTGTTGGTCCCCTCTTATCTCTACGCTTGC